TATATTAGCACTATCACCAGAACTAACACAAGACCTAGAACTAGAATCATTCGGATTTAACCGTCTTGAGAGACGTGCAGCTAAACCCAAACGACTCTAGTTCTAGGTCTATGTTAATTCTAGTGACAGTGATAGTTAGCGCTAGTTAGCATAAGATATCACTATGTCGCATATTTTTATTGTACTAAAACTAGAACTAACACTAGACCTAGAACTAGAATCATTCGGGTTTAGCCGTCTTGAGAGACGTGCGGCTAAACCTGCATTCTGAATAAGTCTTTCCAGTCATTTTACCCCATCTCATATTAGTTCTAATATCTCCAAAAATAAAATCCAACCCAGAAAGAAGATCAGCAAATAGCTAAATCCAACATGGAAAGTCTCAAACTCATCGTTTACGCCAGGCTTCGGAAGATTGACCAGAAGAATAAAAGATGAAGATAATAAAAAACAAAAATCAACTAGATGAAAGCTACGGAAGTCCCAATAATGACGCAACCGCAGTTTAAATTCAATACATCTGGAGAAGAATATTGGTTCTTTTTCTCTTCAGTCTCGATTTTGACTACGTTGTTTAGTTTTGTCTCTAAACCTATATTTCCAATCACACTGCTGATTCGTGCCATAAAGAGTATCTCTACGTTGTCTTGTTAACCGCTTTCATCTACTCTTTCTGATTATGCCTAACTAGATCTTGCCACCATATCGTAATATTACCAGTGTGAAATTAAACACAAAAATGTTATTACTTATTTTAAAAACAATGTTGGTATCAGCAATTAAGGTCTTGTCTCAATACCGCCATGCTTCTATTAATCGTTCAGGTGAGCTATCGCCTTCTCACACCTTGTTTTTTGTGTTGGCGTATTCTAAAAACATTTAGTTCCAACGCATGTCATTCTCTCGCCCGGTTAAGCCCCCATTATACAAGATCGTCATCAATTTAATCAGTGTGAAAAGATCCTCTTCCAGTGGCAACAAAATCTCATCCCAACGAGTTGTGCTAGAGGCGTTGAAAATGTCAAACAGAGCAAAGGCTTCGAAAAAATTATAATTTGAAACACATAATTTTGATTGAAGTAATTTCAACTTATATCTAGATAAAATAATGTAAATAATATGGTAATTGACGGATAAATCAATTATATTAATCATATGTAATAACAAAATTTGTATAACAAATTTATTTGCATCAAATAAAAGCGCAACATGTTAACCACAAAAACAAATATTTCGTGGAAATTACGTGATAAAAGCGATCGAGACTATTTGCGCTAGCGCGGGAATGTATTGTTTGTTTTGAACTAATAACGATATTTCCATAATGGTGATATGTGTATAACATAGAGCGTAAATATATCAATTTATTTGTTGCGTCGAGTTAATTCTGGTTTAGGTTCGCTACAAATATAATTGTGGCAGTGTCATCAGTTGATATTTCGAGACGTGGCAATATTTCGCAATAACTATGTAGGCGAATGCAATGCGTGGGTTGTTATCAATGACCAACACTATTGAATGACCTCATCAGCCCTATTTAGTTGGAACAGTAATAAAATACGGTTTTATAACATTCTGAAATTAATACACAGGTATATCTATAGATAAATCGTTTTAATCTCTTTTATAACCTCAATGAAATCAAATTTCAACTCGAATTTCATTCAAATCAGCTTTGTTATTGTTTTATGTATATTTATTTAGAGTTATTTGGTTTTAGTTATTAAGAAAGCGACAAGCGTAAAACAAGCTGAAAGCCACTTTACAAGTATACATTAAGCAAACAAGGATTAAGTAACAGGTAGACGCGTGAAAAATACACGTGGAATTTAGTTCAAAACAGGGGGGTTCTGAAGAATGAACGTGGCAAGCACAGATAGGAAATGGCTCACAAATTACATGTTTACCGACCAGATGTGTAATTACTACTCGCCGCGAATTCTCGAAGGTGCAACTCGATAATTCTACCGCGTTCTAATAAATCAAATTGTGCGAATCATACGATGGAATCAACAACAAACATACAGCGAATATTATAGAGGTGGCGTAGCTTTAACAACAACTTACCGTTTTGAACAAAAAAAAATCCCTTCCTTAATTATCAAGAACACACATATCTCGACGAAAAATCACATACACCGCACCTAATTAGTGTCTGACTTTAATAAAGACCACGTTTTAATTTAGGATGTACTGTATCAAGCCTGTCGACGTTGTAGTTCGTCCGGCATTCATTAGATGGCGCCGCGCCATGTAACATTTATAGCTTAATTTCAGAATTTACATATTTATATAATTTGAAAAAAAAAAAAAATTTCCTTGTTAATGAATGTAGTGGAGAAAAATTGATTTATTATGAATCAATTAATACTTATTCAACCCGTTTTAAGTTGAAATTTGTATATTTAACTCCTCCTTAATTATCTACAAACACTTTGTAAATGTTAGAGGAAGTTTATTGTTTTATCGCAAATAAATTAAATGTTTGTGAGTTTTGATTAAACAAATCTTTTTTTATAAGTTATAAAACTTGTTGAATAAATATAAATTATTTCTAATATATAGGTGTTCTAAAAATAAGTTTAAACACCTACAATCTCATCTAGCTTTGATTAAAGGGAGGCATCCAAATCCTTGACACCATTATTTTATATCCTGAGTGAACGACGTCTTTTTTTAGAAGGAAATCTCTCAACTGTAGCTGATCTGCTGATTCTTCAGTTGACCAGCAAACCATAAGGCTATCAGCAATTTCTCAAATTCATTACGCTTCTGTTAATATTCTTAAAAAACTGCATTGGGTATCCCTCTATTTTGTCTTGACTTTATTTGCAGCGTCTTGTCTACCCACTTCGTCATTATACTTGCCATCTCAGCTTTCATGTAGAGTCCTTAATAGAGATTTTGTACTATTCCTAGACTTACATATTTATTGCAAGCATGGCAGATAATGATGGTAGTCCAAGATATGCCGAGTTCTTTTGCAAGGACCTGTCAATACGGCAGAAATTTTTTTTGGCGTTTTTTCGCCAGATATGCCCAAATTGATGTCAGCACACCAATTTTCCACATCGACTAATGCCTTTCTTGTTCTTGTTTCAAGGTTTTTACCACTGTTATCAATCTGTATAGCTATACCTTCCTTAGAAGCAACTGGATAATTCTCTATATATACGTAGAGGCTGAGGTTTCTTTATTTTCGTCAACATTATCATGGAGTACCCGGGCTCAACTCTTAACCTCCAAATCTTAATGGGACTAACTCAAAATCCTCTCATTGCTACTTCAGCAACAAATTTTAAGGTCTCCAAAAGTCCAGACACGTTTTGGCTGAAACGTTCTACGCTATAATCTCTTATATTACATGACATACTTTTACAAAAGTCTTCAGTAAGTACATAAGGACACGTTTTGCCCAGCTCGTCAAAGAACTTGTTTGGAATCGAAGAGTCCCAAGAAACGCAGATACGTTTCTACAGTGCAGACTTGGGCAAATATTTCGACTCCGTTGTCTAAGCTACCATAAGAAAATGGTTATATCAGTGGTCCAACATTTCACCACACCATAGGGTTCAGCATCTGCCAAAGTTACAAGTAAGAGGACCTTCTCGGCACATTCTTTTTAACATTTTTGTTATACATCGTTATTAACAAAGTGCTTCCCAAGCTCAATTCTAGAAATAATTGGGTTCTAACACCATTGGCTTCTGTTGCTGTAAGATAATGTGACTGACACAACTAATACCTTGGACTTGGACTACGAACATAATGACAAAACAGTCTAGTTATGATACAAAAATAAATGCCACACTTGGAATATAATGTAATCTTCATCTTGGGTTGTTCCAAGAGTGATGGAACCTCGACAACTGGGTACTGAGTATTTAGGACTCTTGGATGTAATAAGAAAGAATTATTTGATGCTAGGAGTAGGGTTTTGATTCCAAAAGAAATTGATAATCATTTCCATAAAGAATTTTTAGAGACACCTATATATTCATAATTCAATAAAATTTGTTTCAATAGATCATTTGTCCTGTTAATTTAAATATTTGGATAAACGTGATTCTTTTTCCCAATTCCTACTGTCAATAAAACAGCGCTAAATTACTCGAAAAACAATAAAAATGACATACGATTTGGGTACGAGCCGGAAAAATCGATGTCCCGGACCGGTTACGCTTTGAACATCACGCCATAAAATGACGATAATTTATGTTCTAAATAAAAATAGGCGAAAAATCGCCCAACGGCGTTAAACCACTTGTTGCCGGGTAGCTATAAATTTCTTCGGTTGCGTATATAGGCTTCGCGTTCGAAAAATATTTTTAGAAACGGTTTCTAGCAAACAAAAACAGACCAAGAAGAGGTTTACTTTAAAACTTTACTATGCCGTTATTTGATATAACTCGTAAAGTCTTTTGTAAACTGAGGTTAATTTAACGATTGGATCAATAAATAACGTTAACTTATTGTTAGAGTCAATGAATCATTTATGTTATGAGATTGGAAGTGAATCATATCAGTTTTTATATAAACAATTTTTTATAAATTCGCTGTAAATTTTATCCGATAAAAATATTTGATTTATTCATGAAATGTTGTTGTAAAACAATCTGTGTAGTTTTACAGTAATCGACATGCGAAATTGTAAAAAAATGAATTCATCGTTTTGCATATACCCAATTTATTAAAACTGATTAAGAGTATCCAGTAATGAATCTTTAAGGCGATTACCGAACCTAATTGGAAACCATCCTCTCGGTCTCGCAGGGTTGTAGGAAACCATTAAATTTATTATACAAATCCCCATCGCGTTTAAAATTTACGAACGACATCCTAGCCCTTTTAAATAATAACGGAGCCCGCGACGGCACTTATCGCAACGGCATCGTCATTAACTATGCTTGGCGACCGTTTAATATTGATAGTGGCAGTCACAGTGTAAAGGAAGCGAAGGGAATTTAATTAAGCACCCCCCGCCGGTTCATGGAACTTACCGTGCACGTAACCCTGTTCCGGGTGGAGTTGCGTTTGTGGGTGGTGATGGTGGTGTCCGGTAGCTGGATAATGTCCTGGTGGGGCCGAGAAAGCGCTCGAACAACCGTGGCGACGCGGTAACGGTGACAACTGGGGACTAATATGCGGTGGCCCCAAGTGATGGTGTCCTATTGGTACTGAATGTTGTCCAGTTGCCCCCGTGGGGGGTTGCATATTCGATAATGCATCCAAAGGGGTGTAAGATTTACTTGGTGTTGATTCACCATTTGACTAAAAATAAAACAAAATTATTTCTTAGTTGATACATATGTTATAATTTATAATAAAAGAGTTTATATTAATATGGTTTATCCAACTCCCTCGTAATACATAGAAATAGTTTTCAGTATTCTATTTTATTAACGCGCAACATCGACATATCTCGACATGGGAACAAAAAACACTTTGCTAATCCTGAGTAAAATTTCATTTTGACACTGTTTCCAGGCTGTGCAGAACATCATCTTTGGGAAATGATTAGATGATGTGATACTAAAATATTAAAGCGATATTCCAAGTATTTCCGGAGTAATCGCTGCTTTCCCTCAAAAAAATTGCTAGAAGTAATCAAAAATGAATGTATTGGACATGTTGAAAAGAGCATGGTTGGGTTGGGAAAAGAAAATTGATAGATGCTCTAATAAGAAAACTATGCCATGTTATTCGCAGAAATATAGACAGTAAAGAGAATATTAATAAGGCGAAAAGCAACTGGATCGTATCATTTAGTGATACATCCTTTAGCATTTCATCCAGATGTACAAAAACATGCACTGGCAATTTATAAAGATCTATCTCAAGATAATTTGCTAGTTAGATGTTTGGGAGATCACACTCTGAATGTTAACACAACCTTCAACTAGATAGTTTGGTGATTGACTCCAAAGCACCTACATTCCTGTTTGAAAATCGTAGAAATTTCTGCTTTTATTACGCCTGGCCTGTTTAATGAAGGACGTAGTGCCATTTTAGATATGATGAATTCATTAAATATCGTTATTGGCAAGCCAGCCAAAATCTACGCCAATAAAATCGATGAACAGCGAATTATGCGGCAAAAGCGATGTAATGAATCGCTGTACATAAAAGCTCGAAAAGAACAGTTGGCGATGGAAAGTTCATTTTATGAATCAACGGAAGGTTTATTGTATGATCCTACAATCAATCCAATAAGTCATTGGATGTTGAAAAAAATCAATTTTGACTAGCAATTTTCTCAAAACTACGTTTTTGCAACTCTTGGAAAACATATATCAAAAAAAAAATTGGTAAAATACATATTCTATAAGTTTAGTATACAGCTGAGAAATGTTATGTAAGGTTAGTTTTGTTTACAAATGTCAATCAACCCAAGAAAGAATGTTGGGGTAGGTTAGCTTTCCTTTGTAATATCAATTATACCGTGAAGCCCACGCCTAAACACGAATGTTTCTAGTTCTAGGGTTAGTTCAAGCGTTAGAATTAAAACTAGAACAAATAGAAGTTTCTAGTTCTCGGTCTAGTGTTAGTTTTAGTTTTGCACTAACACTATCACTAGAAGTAACACAAGTCCTAGAACTAGAAACATTCGGATTTAGCCACAAGTCTCTCAAGACGGCTAAACCCGAATGATTCTAGGTCTTGTAATAGTTCTAGTGATAGTGCAAAACTAGAACTAACACTAGACCTGGAACTAGAAACATTCTGGTTTAGCCGAACGTCTTTAAAGACGGCTAAACCAGAACGATTCTAGTTCTAGGTCTTGTGTTAGTTTTAGTGATAGTGCTAGTGTAAAACTAGAACTAACACTACACCTAGAACGTTTCGGGTACAACCTAGCACTGTTAAGTGTTAGTTCTAGTTTTACACTAGCACTATCACTAAAACTAACACAAGACCTAGAACTAGAATCATTCTGGTTTAGCCGTCTTTAAAGACGTTCGGCTAAACCAGAATGTTTCTAGTTCCAGGTCTAGTGTTAGTTCTAGTTTTACACTAGCACTATCACTAGAACTATTACAAGACCTAGAATCATTCGGGTTTAGCCGTCTTGAGAGACGTGCGGCTAAATCCGCATGTTTCTAGTTCTAGGGCTTGTGTTACTTCTAGTGATAGTGTTAGTACAAAACTAAAACTAACACTAGACCTAGAACTAGAATGTTTCGGGTACAACCTAGCACTGTTAAGTGTTAGTTCTAGTTTTACACTAGCACTATCACTAGAACTAACACAATACATAGAACTAGAATCATTCAGGTTTAGCCGTCTTGAAAGACGTGCGGCTAAACCCGAATGTTTCTAGTTCCAGGTCTAGTGCTAGTTCTAGTTTTAATTGTTATTCAGTGTTAGGTTGTGGTATATTTTTATTGATCGAAAAGTAGAACTAACAGTAGACTTAGAACCAGAAACATTCGGATTTAGCAGCACACAGAAACTCAGAGTTATCATAAGAACGTCACTTTTTCTAAGCAAAACTTTTCCTTTTCAAAACTCCCCAATGCCTGTACTATTAAGCTATGTTACATTTTATGTGGGACAGTGCGAGTGCATAGTAATTTCGTAACTATGGTTACTGCATTCATATATTGCGAGTTATGAAATTCCCTGTATAATATTCAGAAATGAAGCTGTAATACACAAAAGTGTATATGGACTGATATGTTGAAGATTGAAGAAAGATGTTGCTTCATCGAAACATTTTGTTCCCAAATTTTTCAAGTATTACCAAAAGAAAACAATTTTGTATATAAATGTATTAAAAATGAATCTTGAGTATTTTAAAAAATGACCCTACAAATACTCCTTCAAAGGGTTAGCAGAAAGCTTCGTGTGCAGCTGGCGGCGACGGTGCCGTTGGGTCGATCGGTAATTCAAATTGAGGCATTCATCTTTGTCTGCAGCCGTGGCGATTAATAAACGTCACGGTCGATATTTCGCACAGCGCCACGACAAATTAATACAAATGTTGCGATGCCGACACCGGTTTATCATTCCGCCGCGACGTAAGTTTATTAAATTTTTCCATGCGCTCGGTATGGCGCGGTAAACCCATTTTACGTGTCAATTAACTTCGATGTTTATTCCCGCTCCAATTCGCATCGAGCGCGGACTTACTGGTGACCATGCCACCAGTAAGTGAAGCAGAAGCTCATTCAGTAGCGATGTTCACCGGCGTTAAATTATTGGTTGTTACCCACGGAATTTATACCTACACTATCGTACCGGTTATATTAAATTTAATCAAAACCTTAATTTAATTCGTTTGGTAAATTATTTAAAATGAATAGAATACGATGACTTGAATGTTGTTTGAAAACTCATCCATCACAGAAAAATTGTATGTATACGTCGCATTCTAAAACCCTTCTTCGAGTTTCTTATCTCTTTCGTATAAGCAATCTTACAAATCACAAAGCCGTAGTAAACCCAACGAACCATTAAACTTACATTCTCCTGGCTGCTGCTCGAGGCGGACTGCAGAAGAGTTTCCGTGGCAACGGCGGTGGCAGCCGTCTGCGTATGGCTCGTGGCCGATATCCTGTACTGCATCCCGGCGATGCTGCAATATCCTTCATGATGTGTTGACCTCGTAGTGCTATTCACGTAAACCCCGGTGATGGTGACGTCCGTGTCCTGATTCACAATAACGGCCACCTTCTTGTTCGATGGCGTGGCCCTAACCTCGATAACCTTATCGCTGTTGTCCTTTTTCGCGTCTTCGTCCGGTCTTCTGGGGATGTCGTAATCGTCGCTGTACGAGTCCGATTCAGTGTCTGAATCGCTCGAATTAAGGGGACTCCTCGAAGAATTTTTTTCTAAAGAATAACTAGCCGCTAAAATAGCGCTTGCGTTCAAACTGGCCATACGTTTCCTCACGACCATATCCTTCAGATCCATGATAACCTCGTTCCTCTTCCGACGTTTAACAGGCGCCTTCTTCTCCTCCGGTTTCGAAACCGGTTCGTCCTTCATTTTTTCAATTACGGATTCGTTGGCGCTTTCGTAACTATCTTCAGAACTTGAAGAGGACATCGTGTCATGCATATCCCAATGTTTTCCAACTCCGCGAAGCCCCGGCGCTGTTCGCAATGTTCTCGTCGGCGGCGGATCTTCCGACGAATCTCTTCTTTCTCTCGCTTTTGGTTTAGATCTTTCTCGTCTATCGGACGGTTCTCGTTTAATAGGTGGGATGTTATCGATGAAGTTACCACGAGATTCGTTTTCGTATAAACAATGAACTTTTGCTAACGCGTTCAACGAAGCGACGCGATGTCTTTTTGGGCCATTCCATAATGAAAAAAGTTTCATTTTCTTTTTTTGCTCATCTTTTGGACTTAACTTGGATTTATTAGATGATTTTGTGGGGGCTTTTTTCTTTGGTTTGGGACTTGGTGTTTTGCGTTCATCGTCAGTAACAGATAACGGAATGGATTCATCGTCGTGTTTTGGTTCTTCCTTAATTGTTGGTGCCTCTTCGATACTGATATTATCAGTTTCTTTCTCAATCTGTTTCTCTTCAATATTTTCAGTTGGGATTGTGGGCGTTTCTTCGACAGGTTCAATTTTTATTTTTGGTGGTTCGTCATTTTTTGGCGTTAAATCCGTCGTGGGTTGAGATTCTTTTGGGGAAGAAACAGAAACAGGTGTTTTCTTTTTAGGAGCGATTTTTTGGTCTGGTTTGCTTTTTTCTTTTGGTTTTGATATTTTTTTGTTGGGTGTGGTTTTTGATGATGTGTTGGTCCCGAAGGTTTTTGCGGTCACTAAAATCTTTTTACATTCCTTTTTGATTGTTGGTTTATTATTGGCTTTTTTTTCGGGTAATCCCGGGTTTTCTGATTTTGATGATTCCTCGTCCCCTTTTTGGTCTTTAACTTTTTGCTTCTTTTGCGAAGCGATGGTTTTGGAAGATTCCGTTGGTTTTGATGATTTTCGTTTTGGATTTTGTGCTTTAAGGCTTGGCAGATCTTTTTCTTCGCTTTTTCCGGCTGTCTCAACTTTTGGACCTGATTTTCCGCTTCTCGTTTGTTTCTTCTCATCTTGATTCGGGGATTCTTTCTGTTGCTTTCGTATTCGGCAAACTTTTTTCTTTTGCTTTATATATTTGATTTTGTGCTCTTGTAATTTTGGCGGTATTTTTTTCCTCAACCTCTTAAACTTTGCGTTCTCCATAGGTTTCAGCGGGGTTAACTTTCCTTTGATGACAAACGAGATAGTCTCGTTCATCGATTGCTCCAGGTCTTTCTTTTTCTTCTTTCGCACTATTTCCTTCGCCTTCTTATTGACAGAAGTCCTCTTCGTCATCGCTGCGTTTTTCATATGGAGTACCTCCGACTACTCGCCTGCTTCGCTCATCATCTTTGGCACTATAACACAGTCTTTATGTGGGGGCCCCCGACGCACCAAGAGCCCCACAGAACAATTCCGCACAGGATCTCGCGGTACACTGTGTCCAATACAACGTGGTGTTAACTTGAGTCCTGCGCCTTCGTCCACCCAATCACAATACCATCGATTTACCCTCAGCAAAGACGAAGAGATGTTCCCGTCCTTAGTTCATGATTGGGGGGAAAAAAGGAAAGAAAATTATTAGTAACCGTAACAGAACAATACGTTTTTCAATCACAATTCATGGAGTTTGTTCAAAAAACATTATCGTGAAATACCGCACTGATAGTTTAAAAAAAACAAGAGAGAGATGGAGCGCGAGTCACAATTGTTTACCTTCGATTGTCACGGACACATTTTCACACACGCACACGTATCATGAGCCACATTTCAAGTTTTGGGATCGATAGGAATCCCAATTCTTTACTGTTTAGATACCGGACACTTTTATTATATCATCCAGAATGGAAATTTTTGACGTATTTTCACAAAAACTTTACGTACCGAACGAAAACCCGAACGGCGATGTAAACTCCCCGCCCTATTTACGTGAGTGCCTGACAGACCACCATTTTACAGCTGGAGAATTTTATCTACACACCTTATACGCAGTGCCATCTGTATTATTTCACGGAGAGTTTAAGGTAAAGTTGAAAAAAGTTTTCTACTTTACAACCAGCTAACATTTAAAATAACGGTTTCCACACACTGCAAAAAAAAGGAAAAAGCAGCTTTCATGCAACTATTTCTTAACAGAAGTGGTACAATATGGAGTAATTTTCATACCAACCTAAATTTACCATAGATCATGACATTCAGTTATTAAATGATGCGCCCTTATATCCAAAGGGACGCAAATTTTTCTGTCCTAGCTAGGCATATATTAATGATGAGATAAAGCTGATCCAGAAAAGTCTGCAACAGAAACGAATTATTGAGTTGAATGATTTGAGAGTAAAAATGGTAATGCAGTTAATTTGAGGAACATTCCCAGACGTTTAGGACATATTTTCTTGGAACAGGAAAAGAAATTCCTGGAAATAAATAAATTGAATGCATATTTTATTATATACAGAAATTGTAACATCATTTAACATGATTGTAATACTGATTAACGACAGTAATACAAAATTCATACATCAGTCATTATTATTTTTTAGTCATCACCTAAATACAAAAAGATGTCCTTAAAAGCTTATATTCTTCACAGTGCGATGTTTGTTACGCTTAAAACCGATTTTACATAAATTTTCAAGAAATTGGACAGGTACTAAGTAAATCACTTTACAAAAAAATACAAAATAAATCACCATTTCGCCCGTTTCCCCCAATCTTTGGGCGTCCAATGTAAACATTTCGGATCGATTCGAATGTACCTAGTTTCCATCGCTTTTTTATGCGTTTGAATGATGTCTTTGTTTAAGGTGATGATGTATTGACCTTTGTAATAGTTGATGAGATTTAAATTTTGTAATGTTGAGATCACATCTTCTTTCTTAATACTAGTCAGTTCGCAGATTTCGCTTTAACAGAATCAAAACAGCAAAATTAAAAAGTAAAGATTTCTTTTTTGGGCTTACTTTATGGTAATTTGTGGTTTTTCGTTATCACCAACTGGTTTCATGGATAATAAAATTTCTAAAATCGTCTGCGCCCAATAACTTCTATACGAAAGTAAACCTAAATCGGATAATGGTTTTTCAGGAGATCCAGTCTTACCCTCAAATTTCGATAGTTCATAACCTAAAACAAATTTTCTTTAAATCCATAAATCAAAATTATTTAAATGACTCACTAAATTCTATAAGTAATTTTCCATATCCTTTTCGTTGATACGGAGGCATCGTTAAAATACAAGCTACGTTATAATCCTCAGTGGATTCTTTTTCTTTCGAAAAATACCCGACAATGTGAAATCCTCGATTATCGAAAACTGTCATTACGTAAAAAAGGAACGGATCCGTATCGTAGTACAAAGTTTTATGGTCCAAAAATAATTTCGCCAGCAAACACAAATTTTGAGCGTAACATTTGTTTTTGCGACCGTCGATTTCAAAGAACGATATGTTTTCTTTACGGTAAATTTCGTTACCGGGAGGATGTCTTAAATTACATTTAGCTAGGTGTCGTTCTAAACACTTGCGACTTTTACGATATTTTAAACAAAATTCGCAAATATAAATGCATGGAATTCCAACCATCTCCTTTTTTGTAACGGTAAAAAAGATGTTGCCCCAAAAGAAAAAAGAAATACAAATAAAACAATCTCAGAATCACACGTTTATTAGTTTTTATGGTACAATTCAAGAATCATCATGTTAAAGTTTCGACGTGACGTCATCGACCGTGCTACGGTTGTCGGATAAGGTTGTTTACCATCTATATACTAAAGATCACCTAAAATCTATACCTGATGCGCCCTCTTTAACTTATTGGTTCCTGAATACTAGATACTGTTGACAAAAGACTAATTATTGCTATCAGAAGATTAAATACTGCTAGTAAAAGAGTAAAAACTGCTTGAAAGAAGGAAATACTATTTCAAAAAGTTACCTACTGATTTTAAAATGTTAGATATTGCAGAAAAAGACCACAACTTACTTGGAAAAGACTAGATACTTTGGTCGAAATAATAATATTGCTAAACACTGCCGTTAAAAGTTTTGACCTACTTGGCCAGGCGAAATACTGCTTCCAAGACTACTTATTGCTTTCAATGACTTTAATAATTGTTTGGAAAAGAGATATTCTTTCCGAAAAACAATCTACTGCTTCCAGAATGTTAGATAGTGCTGGAAAAGACTAATAACTGCTTGCAAAGAAGAGATATGCTTCCCAAAAAGCTACCAAAATGCTAAATACTACTGGAAAAGACTAATAACTACTTGGAAAGAAGAGATATGCTCTCCAAAAACGGTACCTACTGATTACCAAAATGCTAGATACTGGTGGAAAATATTACAATCTGCTTGGAGAAGACTAGATAGTGCTAACAAACAACTACAAACTGATTGGAAAGACGAGATACTGCATCCATAAGACTACTTACTGCTTTTAGAGCGCTATATACTACTAGAAAAGGTTACGACCTGCTTGGAGAAGACTAAATACTACTGGGAGAAACTATTATCTGCTTGGAAAGACAAGATACTGTTTCCTAAAAACTATTAACTACTTTCAGAATGCTAAATATTGTTGGAAAGACTGCTAATTGCTTGGAGAAAGCTAGATATTGTTGGCAAAGACTATTTCATGGTTTCAGAAGACTATATACTGCTGTCAAAACGCTACTAAGTGCTTGGGGATTACAATACTACTAGCTGAAGACTATTTACTGAAACAATTCTTCTGTTGAGTGACATCTTTCTGTATCTCTTGTACTACAAATTTAAAAATTGCTGCTACAACACGCGATTCATTGTCACCCAGATGCCACGTATCTTTTTAGAGGGGCCCCCTCTTTAAACGTGACACCTAATTTACTGATTTATGGACCAGAAGGTGGGTTGTAAATTCCGGGTTGTCGTTTGTCTGAAGACACACGACTAAACCCGATACGTTCTAGTTCTAGGAATAGTATCAGTTCTGATTTTACACTAGCACTATCACCAGAACTAACACAAGACTTAGAACTAGAATCATTCGGGTTTAGCCGTCTTGAAAGACGTGCGGCTAAATCCGAATAATTCTAGTTCTAGGTCTAGTATTAGTTATAGTTTTGTACTAGCATTGTCACTAGAACTAACACAAGACCTAGAACTAGAATCATTCGGGTTTAGCCGTCTTGACAGACGTGCGGCTAAATCCGAATGATTCTAGTTCTAGTGTAAGTTCTAGTTTTGCACTAACACTATCACTAGTACTAACACAAGACTTGAACCTAGAATCATTCGGATTTAGCCGTCTTGAGAGACGTGGGGCTAAATCCGAATGTTTCTAGTTTTTTGTCTAGTGTTAATTCTAGTTTTGCACTAGAACTAACATAAGACCTAGAACTAGAATCATTAGGGTTTAGCCGTCTTGAGAGACGTGCGGCTAAATCCGAATGTTTCTAGTTTTTGGTCTAGTATTAACACAGAGTCTATTGACACACAGTCTATCTAATGACAGGTAGTTAGTCGTTATGCATTGACAGCCTAAGAAAAACAAGGATGTTTCAATATACGTTGTAACATCGCCGAGTTTAGTGAAAATAATTTTACTTTCAAGTTTATCAGATTGATTTTGTGCGTGGCTATAAAATAAACAATTTGTAGGTACATGTTGAACCAGTTTAATAGAAAAATGCATAGTTAACATTGCTTGTGACGTCACAAAACGTGATATCACATCGAAACTTTAATGTGATTTTTCTTTTTATTTTTAACGTGTTTTTTTGGGTCATTTCACATTGATTAAAAAAAAATCTAGGTATGTATTTAAATAAAATAACTTTTATCACGCTATAAAAATTAATATATTCAGAACCAGCTTTGGCTAATACGCCATAATCAGTTGAATCTTTAATTCAATATCTTTGTTAGTTTAGATTCAGATGATGGCTTCTTAGCCAAAAGCGGTTCTGAATATATTAATTTTTATAGTGTGAAAGAAGTTATTTTATTTAAATACCTAAATTTTATTTACATTTATGATTCGCAACATGGATTGCCAAAAATAAAAAAAAATCGTCGATTTTTAAATGATGATTCTTGAATTTTTCCTTTTTTATTTTTTTTTACCTGTGGATAAGGTGCAAAATACCACGGTTTAATCCTATGCCTTCCTAATTCGATCATATCAACATTTTTCATCCTAGTAATAACATCATCGTGATGAGAAACCATACTACCTGATTGTCTAGGACCAGGGGGTGGTTGACTGGTTGGAGTTTGATTTTGTGTGGGTTGTTGAGGTTGTGGAGTATGAGGTGTTAAAGGCATTTGGGGTGTATGTGGAGTGTAAGGTAAAGAAGGAGGTGCATCCATGGAGTCTTCACTTTCCAACGAAGGCAACTTTCTTTTTTTGTTATGAATGGTTTTTCTTAAAGCAGCTGCTAAGACTGCACTTCCATTTACTAACTCACCACTACTTGATACAGGACTTGAGGGTCTCGACACAGACCCTCCAGCCCCAATGTGAACTTTTTTAGGCGTTGAAACACCCGTGTTACTTCCACCATCTCGTCTGGGGAAATGGACTTTTCTCGTATCAAGAGATTCTTCGGTAACCCACTCATCCAGTCGCTTATTAACTGATTTATTTTAAAACGATTAGATGAAATAATAACCAATTAAATAATCAATTTAACTTACAATCAACATAATGAACATAGTATTGCCTTTTACCCTGGTTATCTTTTATACTTATTATTTCTGCCAAAGCTAAAATACACCAAATAGTAACGATTTATTATTAGAAACGAGATGACTTACGCCAATCGTCGGTTCCTTTCATATGAACCGGCAATCGACATCCTTCTATTAAAGAAGACTGAAATCGTGAAAACAAACAAAGTGAGGTTATGTTTGGCGAAGGTGGTTTATGTTTCGTTTTACTTACGACGGAATCGCATATTGTGGTATCGTCAATGTCTTCCATTTCCACTTTCATCGATACGGTTTTATCGGAATAGAAATATTTCAAAAACAAGGGTTTTAATACGAAAAAATCGTACTATTGTTAAATCGAGTACGGCTAACTTCACACCAATGATGCCAACATATAAATGTTTGTAAATCCAACAATGGAAATGAATTTTAAATGTTGAGGTGAAATGAAGAATAACTTGTTATAAATAATTAAATAAAAACAATTTAAATTAAAATAATAAAGACTATTTAAGTTTGACATTTTTGTACATAACCTAACAATTTCGTTTTTAAGAATTATTTTATATTACTTTTTGTTACCATACCTTATTGTATTTATATAATTTTGATTTTCAACTCCATCTTCATCTTCTATTTCGTTGTATTTCTTTTATTAATAACATTTAAAACAATCAATAAATATAAGAAATAAACTTTTAAACAAATTTTTATGTTTGGTTAGTGTCAACATCTATTATCATTATTTACCATTAACTTTGAGATAATTTTCTACAATAAAAATTAAAAATTAATTTTAATTAAAACTTAATCAAATAATTTAATTAGTTATATGTAAAAATTATATTAATGGTATTAAATTTATTTGAAAATTTAAACTTTGGGTATAAAATCTCAAATAGTAGCGCCATCTTTAAAGGATCTCATTATTTCATTTTAAATAAATTTTTCTATCAATAATTAATTATTTTATTCCTTATAAAGTGTTTCTTATAATAAATTCATCTCACCAATTAACAATAATGATTTATTTATCTTTACTTGTGATATTAGATATTTCTATTGTTATAATGTTGGTAGGTCTGATTTTAAACAAAATTTTTTTAAAAATGGAGCGTCCTTTATACTTATCATATTATGAATACAATTATGGTGCTTTCATCTCTTCTATGGTGTGTGGTAGTTGATGACTTGAAGAGAAAATGGATTCACGATTCAAGGATATGCTGTGGACCTGGTAATCACAATCCGAGGTAAATATAGCTCAATCATAACCTAACTAATGCAGAAAGCCCTACTACTTAGAACTGGGGTCTTAAATACATAGTAATAATCAGACCATTGGCCGCTTATACCTCACTGGTTTGGTGGCCAAAAACAAATCATAAGAGAGCACAACAACAGCTGGTAGCTAATCCAGCTATTAGCATGTCTTAATATAACGGGTGTAATGAGATTTTGTTCGAGGGCTGCTCTTGAAGCCCTACTCGGTCTTACACTATCAACTCTTCACTCAAGTTGATGAAGGATAACTTCAGAGGATACTTTGAAATCCCCAAGGACCCATGTCTAAAACACTTGATTGAAATTAAAACGGACCTCATACCGACAGAATGTAATTTCAACCAGCCATATAAGGTTATATTTAGAAGCAGTGATGATTGGACGAAGGGTGAACCTCAACTTAAAAGACTTAAGCTTGTCCCTTAGCTTGGATGTAACCATTTTTCATGAAGAAGTTTTTGCTATAAACTTCTGCACCGTTTTGAACCTAGAAGAAGGACAGAAAGATGCATCCATAAATATTTTCACAGACAGTCGGGCCAAGGATGTTACTCTATGGTGGGTTCCAGGTCACAGAGATATTGAGGGCAATGAAAAGGTGGACAAGCTGGCCAAAGAGGAAGTGAAAATGCCCTTTATTGGACCCCAACCCGGTTGGGAGACCTTAAAGGTAGCCTGACGCTGGAAAGACCTTCCAGGTCACAAACAAGCAAAGAATAACTTTGTCCCAAAACAAAACCAAAGAGATTTTATGCCTCAGCAAAGGGGATCTAAGGTTGCTCTCACGCTTCCTGATCTCTTCCACATTAGACAAGCTGAGGAACATATACTATGTGAATGCGTTGCCAGAGGCACAAAATTGTCGGTATAGAAGGCCTTACAACTACCGACATAAAGGAACAAGACTTTGGAGCAGTAGTGAGGTTCATCCAGGATCTACATTTGTCTTAAACACTTGGAGGGTTTAAGTTACAATAGATCTTATAGGTCGCGCTGACGAGAGGGGCCGCTCCTCTCAGCCCGGCAGCAATAATAATTTAGGTTGGTGTGCCGTTAGCCGGCGAGTATTTGTTGTTGGTAAAATTGGTCATGTTCTATTTTGGTAGTCAAGTAGCGGCGATTAGCAGGTCACGTAACTCACTCGCACCCGCTGCCATCAGCGAGCAGCGCAGTCTGAACACTCAAGCAGTGCATCAGCGTCGATAAATCAGTACATGCCACGTGGTTCTTTATTTATGTTTGATGTCTTTTCTGTTAACCCACTCTTAACAACTGCGTAATTAATTGTTTGCGTGGACCCACGGACGACATGGTTGTTGAAAGCGACTAAATCTGGCGAGTAGCAACAGGCATTGTTGCCCGCCGCCTGACAAGCAGCCTAGTGTGATCTGTGCTTATTCAAAGATATATGATGTATTTGATACGTGATGTATGATATATGATAGGGAAACTAGTGTGGATACGTCAAAAAGCAAGAAACACCGAAATGAGAACGCTAAGAACGATTAAAGGAGTAACCCTGAGAGACTAGATAAAAAGCTCAGCTCAGCAATATTCGTCTAATTTCTAAATTTTCTCGATATTTATGCATCTCAGAGTAAAACTGAAAGAAAACAATGTTATTAAGAATAGAATTTGCTACAACTTTCACTATAAAAGTTTTTTGTAACCTGCTCTGAATCCCGAACATAGTAACGCTAAGGATTATCTTTCAGATAATCATATAATCGTATAATTCGTGAAGTTTATAGAACAAATAATCTCTCAATAGTACTTAGGGTGGCCCACATCCATAAACTTCAATCATTGTAGATTTGGTTTCACGTTCCGAATTTATTTAGATAATTTTATTGATTAAAACAGACGATATATTTGTTCGTATTTTATTATACAAACTTACGGATGTATTTACAAATAATGGTCACATGTATTTTAAACTAAAAATTCCCCATTACACAAAAACGACGATAATGATGTAAATTCATATTTACAATCATTCAACAAATAGTAACTTTAAAAAGATGATTTCGATATAAATTGTAGCTAAAAACTAATTATATTATGGCAGTATATAAAATAATATACATTGATACAACATGATTAACTAAAAATAAATGGAACAATAATAATAATTAATAATACAATTATTACGTTTATCTTTTACAACTAGATAAAGAATGAAGATTAGATTTATTTAGGTTAAGAGGATTTGTGTTATTGTTTCTGGGGTTAATTTTAAGCACAAAGATTTTTTTTCTTATTCGATATACAATCATTCAAACATTTTAAAAACATTTAAGATTTTTGTGTCCATTATTTTTTTAATATATTCACGAAGACTAGAAGTTATTAAGTAAATTTTTTTATGTGATCATAACGAAAGAATGCACAACTTCTGATGCACCATGATTCTTGGTAAACAGTCAGTCTTTTTTTCGTTTATTTATAATAATTTAAAAATCGCCCAATCAATAAAAAAAAACTACTTACTATAATAGTTTAGAGAAAAAATGATTAAAATAATTAGTAAATATTTATTAGCTTGGCTATAATAAGTATATAATTTCTTATATTTATGAGAGAATGTAGGTTTAATAGAAATAAAAAAATAAAGAAAAATCTTTGTAACAAAATAAAAAGTTTAGGGCTTATTTACATCGCATAATAAATTAATATTACGATATTAATTAAAATTCGTAATGCGGATATGTTATTTTATATAATAAAAAATCGATAAATAAAATATTAATGATAAACTATTTACAGAAAAGAATGCAATTTTTATATACAACTCAAATACGGTATTACAGTTGTGCCCAACTTTGCAAATTACTTAAAACTAAACTAGGATTTCTACGCAATATATTTTTATTTTATCCATCGTCCTATGTATCATCAATATCAGAAGGGGGATCCAGCGCTGTATGTAATGTTACACTAACACCCCTATTAATGCTTACCGCCGGATAAAAAACTCCGTATAAATCCCGAAAAGCAATCGTTCCTTGCGGTTCTTCGTTCACAAAGAACGCCAACGTATGTCTGTTCAAATCTAAAAGAACTCCAACTGTTCCTCCGGCTGATATCCCGCCTTCTACACGTTGTTCGTGACCACCGGCGTGTTGAAACCAAGAACGTTGACGATCTATGTACATCGCCCAACCTTTATCGTCCTTACCTAAAGAAATTGTTATGATAAAATTTTTTATTTAATTTTTTTCGTATTAGTTTTCCATACCCAACATTTTATCTCTACAGACATCTATTCTGGCAATGCCAAAGGCAGGATCGGTGTCTGCATCGAATTTATCGACGGTGAACTCCCAATAGTGAACGCCCCTGCTAAATCCAACGCTGCCCAAGGCGACACGATATTCCCAACCTTCACAGGTCACCCTAGTACTATCCTCTGAATATTGTAGTCCAGGACCCGATAGGATCGGGTCATACGTGAACCAGGCCACTGAAAACGCAAAAAAAAATGTTTTTAAAATTATTTATTCACTTTGATAGTTTAGTAGACAAATATAGGTTTTGGAATGAGGAAGAAGACGCTTTCGAAGTTTATGTCTATTTGCATACCAAAGCTGAGAGGGCTTTCGGAAGATGGGTTGGTAAACAGGGGCAACTTGGGAAGCGGAGGGGGGTTTATTTTTTTTTGGCGAAACCAAACATCTTTATTATAAAAACATTTAAAAAGAAATTGAGTGATTAAAATGTTTTATAATAGTTCCCATCAAGTTTATATGGACCACAATAAAAATTTTAAAGGCGTCGCAAGTCATTACTCGACAATATTGCGAATAAATCGCCTCGCCCGTTCCATTACGTCCGCACGAAAAGTCGTAATTCATCGTATGAGATTTTCCGTTATAGCGAAGGTCCGGATTATACGGTGAGTTTTCTTCGTAGATAAATAACGTAAAAGGACGTACAAGTATATTTCAGTACACTTTAACATGCAATGTGGTACCCTTTTACGGTTGGCACAAAAATATTTTTGTTTTTCATTTTGAAGATATTAAAAGTTTTATGTCTCTTAAGACGACTAAACCTGAATGTTTTTAGTTTTAAGTCTAGTGTTAGTTTTAGTGCTAGAAATCTGAAGTCTGAAGACGTACGGCTAAACCCGAAACTTTCTAGTTCTAGGTCTAGTGTTAGTTATGGTTTTAATTGGTGTTCTAATGGTAGTGTTCTAGCTTTAAGAATGATGATACTTAAATGGAAACTGTTTCAAAGCTAATAAGAAATAGAAAAAGCTCTTTGGTATGTGTCAAAATGGTTCTAACAAATAAGAAACATCTCAAGAATACTTAGTAGCAAATTGTAGCCTTAACACAATGACTGTAACATTTTTGCTCCCAGATGCATCAATGTAGAGAATTTTTCAAAAATGTCAAAATTAGAAGAGTGTTAAAAAAAATTGATATCCGGAGCATAATACAGAAAAGACAGAAATAATACAGAAAAACTTTTACTACAAAAGTTGTAGCAAATTGTACTCTTAACACAATGGAAAACTTTATAGTTCTAGGTCTAGTGTTAGTTCTAGTTTTAATTGTGATTCAGTGCTATGTTGTTGTATATTTTTATTAAACTAACACTAGACGTCTCTAAAGACGGCTAATCCCGAATGTTTCTAGTTTTAGGTCTACGGTTACTTTTAATGCTAGTGTTCCAGTTACTTAAAAATTATGATACTTAAATGGAAACTATTTCAAAGCTAATAAGAAATAGAAAAAGCCCTTTGATATGTGTCAAAATGGTTCTATTCAATAAAAAACATCTCGAAGATACTTGATAAAAAGAAAATAAGTTAAAATAATTAAATGGAATGTTGCCCATAAATTAGAAAGACTTGAAAAAAAGTGGGAATAATTGATTTTAGACCTATTACAAGAAACATTTTGATTTAGTCTTTTTAAGAGTACTCTAATGGTTGAGTTAACCGAAAGTTCACGAATCGAACGTTTTAGAGCCTTAGGCTATTGAAGCGAAATTGGAAGGGTGATCTTTTAGAAGAGAAGATTTTCTTTCAGCACGGTTACTCGACAGGCGGATTCGATACGGTGGATATTTCGATTTATATTTGGATTTATGTGCACGTCTTTGCCGAAGCCTCTGCCGCGAGTTCTGTGAAATAATGGCGATACGCTCTGGCTTGTGTAAAGGTTACCGAACGTGTTGGGAATGTGGAGCGTGTTGGGTCTAGTTCCTTCAATCGATAAGATGATGCGGAGGAGCGAACCTACCTTCGGCCGTCTGAAGGCCGATCAAGTCGCTGTATTCGCCTTCGCCGGAACTATTGAACGCCTTCACTCGGGCATTGTACATGCAATGAAAATGCAGACCATCCACCGTGCATATTGTCTCGGTCCCACAATAAACTTCCTAAAAAAGAAAGAAAAAAGAATTAATAAAAATTTCAATCAACGTTTTGTTGGAAGATAATAATTTTATTTGTTTATTTATGATGACATAAAGTATGGGGACCTCCTTGAAGATAGAGGTTCTCCTCTTCTAAAACGCTATTAAACGTTCATAATGTTAGGTAGGTTTCACCCTGAGGCCACGTTTCCTCACTAATCGCCATCCAGAATGGAATTACCACATCAATCCCGACGGTTTGGTAGACGTAAGTGGCCGTAGCTGCCCGTTCATTTGCATACCTACCCGTTTGCTAAATTACACCGGGAGCAAATTGAGTATGGTGTAAATGGAGTATGGATGTGTTACTACATAGAGGAGGTGACTTTACCACGTTAAAGGATCGAACATGCTTTCTAACCAACTCTCTAACACATCAACATAATCTACAACATTCCAAAACGATTTTAATTATCTTAAGATTCAAACTTTATAATATATATATTTATATTTATTATATATAGTAATTCGTAGTGCGTCACGGATGAAATCTCGGATCGACCACAATAACATACAGTGTGTTCATTAATTATTAATTATTTAAGTATGCAACCAATATCACAGCGTAATACGCAAATCGCGTATACTGTGATATTGGTTGCATAGTTGCAATGATGACGTTGGGTACGATTTCATTAACACACTGTATATATAAAACAATTAGTTTTAAAGTTTCGCATTTATTTGCAAATTTTGCATGTACTAAAAGACTTTGTATAAACTTTGATTCATAAGTTAGTTTGAAATAGTGTACAAGAGGGTCGCATTTGTGGATAGAAAAGTTTTTGTGCATTCTAACATCAGTCAACTTCGGCCGTCGGCTGCGAATGTCTGTTAATTAAAGTCAGTTGCCGAGTCCGCACACTCCTCTCTACGTATTGCGAAGCGGGCGCGTTCTGGTGATTACCACTTCCGGCAGTTGCCAATTTGCGAGTCTCCACGGTCGCGAAGACAATGCGGTTGTCGACGCCGCATCCGTAACAATTAAAATCGACGCCGTTTCGGAGATAATTTCGTGACTACGTCAACGTAAAGGAAGATTTTGCTTTAAAGGTGGTGCAAAAAAAATCTTTTATATAATATATTTCTTTGTATTTAGATACAATAACGTTCTTTGTATTCCCTTTTTTTCTTTCGTAACGTTTAGCTGCCAAATTCACTCCACGTTCGAACCATCCCCACATAATTGCGCAGTATAAAAAGCATCACCCTCGTTGAGAAAAAAAAAAAAAAAAAATCCGTTGACGTTGCGTTCAAATCCAAAAAAAAGACGTCGTAAAAAAGCCATTAATATTCCCGTTTCGAGCCAATCAAACTCAGATTAAACGAAAGTTCGCGTGTTACGTATCGCGACGCCAACAACCCCGTCGCTCTGTCCAAGAGATGTACGGGCCCCATTCTTTGTTTGGTAAACTTTGGAGAGGTCGGTTTTTGCGGGACCGTCTAATTGAAATTGATTAAATTTTAATATGCGACCAACGGAGGTGAACTTGCCTTGTTGGTTGGTAAGTTGGGGGCGTCTCGCCTCATGAATATGTACGCGCGTTTTCTGGATAGGGGCAACCGCCCCCGCGATGCCATGAACTGCTCGATAAGGGCAATTTTCGTGTAGGCCAACTACGTATTACTACAGTTTATGGATAGGGGGGTGGAACTCGGTGGGCTTTTGCTTGCTCGTCTTTATTAGATGGGGAGAACGAAAAAAAAAAATATAAAAAATCAGTAGGGAATGTTTTTTATTCGTTTTCTTTTTCATAAATATGTATGAGAAAATGTGATAAGAAAATGTTTTGGTAATGGATTATTAATTATTATTTAAACAGATGGAAAAACCGTTATCTATCTTTAGATGTATCTACACAATAGTCACGTTTCGATGACATCAGCTGGTAGTGCGGTACGCAATCCATATTTCGTTCTGGCATTTGCATACAGACTGTGCGAAACCTGACATGATAACATCTATCAAATTAACGTGATGCTAGCACCGAATCTGGTTTAGTTCTATTTGATGTCAACTCAACCCCATCCTATAATATGATTTATTATATTTATATGTATCTATTAATTAATTTATTTATAAAGAAAATAAGTGGAAAATATCTTCGGGGTTACTGGATGATTTTGAAGTTTTTTACCCGCAACGACATCACCGCTGGATATGAGCCCATATAGATATCTTATATATATCTTGAATCCTAATCGTTGAAGATATGCAGAAAAAACAACAAAAAGGGTTGTACAAATTATAATTTTCTCCTAGATTGATGCGACCATGCGAGACTCTGGAATGAGCAAGTTTCATGAGTGGTAATGAATAGACTGCCGATTTCCAGAAATTGCAAATCAACATCTAAAAAATCCAAAAAGATGAAAAGATCGTCCACACCACATGAAACGCAGGCAGCGCAGAATGGATTGGTCATCAGATTGTGGCAGATCAAGCAAATGGAACGCGTTAGCCTAGATTGAAAAATGCCGCGGTCTAATCAGAATACTTATACACGTGGCATGAGGGTTTTCGTTTGTTTAGACATGGCTGTTTCGAGAATTGAGAACACAATCTCAAGTAAAGTGACATTCATCTGTTAAGAGAATGCGCCGTGGAAATAGGGGTCATTGATGCAGCAGTGTAGAAACCACGTACAGAACTCAAAACATGGTACAAAATCGGCTGGAAGTAATGAATGTATCCTTTGGAGGTGATATGGACGTACTTGTTATTCATGCAGAACATTCCAAACAATGCTGGGAGCAACATCATGCATACTGCATAATATTCTTCAACGTGATGCAGTATGGCCTTTTCCAATTTGGGAGTTCGGCGTCTTCTTGGATTGCCAAAGTTATTAGTGCAGGCGGTGAAACCGTTGCGTAATTGTGGAGCAGCTCTTCCATTACCTGTGTTCTGAAAACGTATTGCTCTAACACTGAAAGACACGTGAATGAGACTGAAACTAGCTCCGAGGGGTAGGAGACGTCAATTGACATTACCTCATCCGAAGTGAACACCTTACGTCATGTAACTAAGCAAACCTGTTTTCAAACGGCTGTAGCACACGGACACGGTATATTTTTGACATGGGTTCCAATTCAAAACATTATCTACTTAATCTCCTCTCCAAGTCCTAGATGTTTGTAAAGGGAATTTTAGATCACCCTGTAAACTCAGATGTAGGTATGTAAGCCCTTGAGATTTAATGCAAGAACTGTAGGCGCAAAATCTCGGCATTAATTCCTTGATTTTCTCTTTGATGCATTTCATGCAATGCTCATTTAATTTTACATCTCATTGGTCTTCGATTCTACAATTTTCTACACTCCAGACTGATATTTATAAGGAACAAACAGCTCCAAAGTGCAACATGGCGTGATAGCACGATGTCAGGATTTGGTCTCCTTTATGAAGCTGCTTATCCCTAAACCAACACCTTACACCCAACCTAACTCAACTCAACGCAAGTCAACCTAACTCAACCCAATCTAACCCATCCCTTTTTTTTATTTACGAGGACGAGAAAAATCTGCTAACAGACATCCGGCCTGGGATCTTGAGCGCCCACTAAAAACCCATTTCCTCGTCTACCTCCGGAACCGCCAACAGACATTTCTTGAGATGTTCATCTAACAATTGGGTTTCTTCCATTTTCGGCCTCTTCTTCATCACTCCTCCCGCTTCATTCGATACTTCATCCATGAGATAACATAAAATAAAAGGAACCCAACCCATCTACTTTTTGGCTTTCTCCGACACTCCTCTTACCATCAAAATCGTCTTAGGGAAATCCTATTTAATATCTTCGCGCGGAGCATGGACTATACGCATGGAGTACATGAAAATGTAAGTAGGTCTTTATTGTATCTCATTTTCCACAAACCGATCCACAGATTCGCCCCAAAATCTTCTAACACAACCATAGCAGAGTACATAGAGGCCCATAGAATCATTACAGTTTTATTTTATGGATTATTATGTTCAAATTAGTGTCATAACAAGCTTTTTAAATCGATTATTATAAAATTAAGTAATAATTTTAAAAAGTCATTTCAAAACCACAATAAATAACGCATTTCACGGTTATCAAGGCACGAATCCACGTTGTAGTGATCACCGGGGGGGATTCCCCTATACACGATCCAATTAAAAAGTTCATTTGGCCTGGTCCAGACGCGTTTATAGCGCTATATTGGCGCGGTAATTAGGCCGTTATGCGCTCCCGGACGTCGTCGTAGCAGGGATCGAAATCGCGAACGTCGCGACGTTCCGAGGGTCGATTCTAGAGACTCACGCGTCGAGGGGTGGAAAGATTAATGGTCACGGCGCGTCCTGAGTCCTGACTCATTGGCGATATACATGAAATGACGCACTGGAAATGGGCGGAGAAATAACAACAACAAAAATTGAATTAATAAATTATGTGGTTTAACAAAGATGCTATTACAAATTTGTATGAAGATTATCTCGCGGTGTGTTCTAGTATAGCGAAAGGTAATTAATCGGTGAGTAACGACCGGCTTCAACCCTCTGGATCCGGAGCAAACTCATTATTAGCGAAGTAATTATCCCTAATCGATCTGGTTTCAATAAACTACTTTATGGCAGCCGTTAATATTTGTTGGATTAAGCACTTCGATTAATTAGTTCCTTTTTAGAAATTAATGAAGATTAGAAATTTTTTTTAAATTTTAAATTAATAGGTAAAGTAATCTACCTTTACTAACTAACTTTAAATTGCAATTTGCGACGTCGTCATCGCGTATTACAACTTAACAATTTTGAGGGGCCACGCCCACGATCTCTCCGACGTCAGCTCACCCCCGAAACCGCATCAAGTGGCCAATCACAAACTAATTCGAGAGCCCGTCCAAGGACGGTTCACCGGGTCCTCGAACGTCCATAATTAATAACTTTGGTAATAACTTAGCCAGACGGTTCCAACGGTCGCCCTACAATACCCAACTTCCGAAACAATACAACACAAAATTTCGAAATACCACTTTCAATGTTAATTCCGAATGAAAATAAGTAAAAAAAAGTACTTACTCGAAATTCCCCTCCATTTCCATCGTCTAATTCCAAGACGTAACCTTCGACGTGGCTCTGCGGAGGTGGTTGCCAAGCTACTGTAACGGAGTTGTTTTCAGCGCTGCACTCTTCAGGGATTATTGTCGGCGCTGCAGGAGCTGCACGTGCGAGAGATAGAAATACAAAAAAAATAAAACGTTTTAGAAGTTGTCGTGTTCAGGAAGTGACGCTATCTCAAGAACGAACTACTGGAGCGAAAACTACGTCGACGGGATCATGCAATATTAATAAATAGAACTATACAGTAAATTTCACTTAAAATGCAATATACAAAAATATATTTCCATATAAAGTATGGTGTACCTACTTATTTTGTTCCACATAAAATGCAACATGTCAATATTATTTCGTTCTAATTTTGCACTAACACTATCACTAGAACTAACACAAGACCTAGAACTAGAATCATTCGGGTTTAGCCGTCTTGAGAGACGTGCGGCTAAATCCGAATGTTTCTAGATCTAGGTCTAGTGTTAATTCTAGTGCAAAACTAGAACTAACTTTAGAACTAGGACCATTCGGATTTCGCTAACTCTGGAAAGACTTTGTGATCGATACATTAGAGATTTCTGGCTTCCAACTAAACCAATAAATCCTAATTAACACGCTTACACTCAGGGCAAGTCCACACTAACGGTTCTTCACTCAGTGACCAGCTTTGTTGGTGGAGCGATGGACCTAAAGGAATCCGCCCTGGGTGTTTTCATAGATATAGAGGGAGCTTTTGATAAAATAACTTTCTCTGATATTAATGATGCCTTGTTAGAGCATAATGTTCCACCGACTCTTTGTGGTTGGATTGAGAATACTCTCAAACATAGGATAGTTAAGCTTAGTGCTGGCGATGTCAGTGTTCAAGGAGGAGTTACTCGAGGCTGTCCACAAGGGGAGGTACTATCCCCACTTTTGTGGAACCTCACCCTGGCTAGCCTTTTGAAACGCCTCGCTGAAGCTAACTTTACCACAGTTGGTTACGCAGATGATTTAACCATTCTCCTCAAAGGCAAGTACATAAACGTGCTTTTAGATAGATAGCTCTATATAGGATGCAGATTCAGATAGGATGCAAGTAGCTCTCAAATTGATGAGGAAGTTTGGCAAGCCCAGAATGCCATCCCTTGCTAATACTCCATTGGTGTTGTCAAAAGAAGTCAAATATCTGGGTATCACACTTGACAATAAAATGACATGGAGAGCCCACCTAGATAATAGAGTAAAAAAAGCTTACGTTGCATTCGGTCAATGCCGGAGGGCTATAGGTAAGACATGGGTTTTGTCACTCAAAAATGCCCTCTGGATTTACACGGCTGTAATCCGACCTATGCTTACATACAGTCTACATCCACTGCTGCACTTAATAAAGTACAGAACCTTGCGTGTTTGTATGTTACAGGTGCGCCGCGGACTACCCCCACTGCAGCCATGGAAAACATGTTGAACCTAACGCCACTTCATTTGTTCATCCAAGAGGTGGCACTGGTGACCATGATTCGACTGCGAGCAGTAAAAATTTTAATGGGTGAGAGATATAGCAAAAATGCCATTCTCTGGAATGAAATGGTGAACTATTTACCAATTCTGGAATGTATAACGGACTACAACACATTTTTACGAAGAAATATCTCACCCACCCAAGTTCCACAGAAGTAGAGGTAAAAAACAGCCTCAAAATCTACACTGATGGTTCAAGGAGACAGGAAGGAGGAAATCAAGGAAACTTGGTAGGTAAGACTTTTACAATTTACACTGATAGTAGACAAGCTATTTTAGCCCTGAGTAGAATAACAATTATCTCAGGACTTGTTATGGGTTGTCATCTGACATTGAAGGCCGCAGTCCATAACTGTGTTATACTTCAATGGACAAAAGGACACTCGACTTGTTCAGGTAACAAGCACGCTGCTAGGCTTGCCAAAAGAGCTGCTAAGCGAGCGCCATGTTCGCCTGAACCGATAATCGCTCCGTCCTTATCAACTCAGATTGAGATAATTAAAGATTTTACTCACAAAAAGTTTATGAACTGATGGGATAGGGTTAAGGGCTGCGATCTGTCTAAGGAAGTATTACATTATCCCTCAGCAGTAGTTCTAGTTTTGCACTATCACTAGAACTAACACTAGACCTAGAAAACTCAGGGTTGTCATAAGAACGTCACCTTTTTCCAACCAAAACTGTTCTTTTGCAAAACTACCCAAAACCTGAATGTTTCTAGTTCTTGGTCAAATGTTAGTTCTAGTGACAATGCTAGGTAGCGCTAGTTAGCATTAGATACCATTGTGTTGCATATTCTTATTGAATCAAAACTAGATATCTAGTTTTGCACTAACACTATCACTAGAACTAACACAAGACCTAGAACTAGACTACCCAATGTCTGTACTATTAAGCTATATTGCATTTTATGTGGGACAGTGCAAATACATAGTAGTTTCGTAACTATGGTTATTGCATTTATATATTGCGATTTATATGAAATTCCTGGTATACCACTAATGAAAACAAGAAATGAAAAATTTTAAATTGGAATTATTACTCAAAAAAGTAATAAATAATGAACACCTCTGAAACATTTCAGCGGTATATTTTCCAACGCAATCGTTAAACAACGTCAACAGGAACGCGTGATTATTTTAAAATATGCAAAAGGTTTTATTTGGATGTTAACAATCTCAATTTTATCAAATAAAAATGTATGGGTGATATAAATTAAAAAATGTTTTAAATAATAAAAAGGTTTTCGAGAAATAATTGTAAGTTAGAGTCGATCCAATAAATATTGTTGGTCGACCATTATTTGAAGTTACTGTCCCGTTTTAGTCGCTCTCTCTTAATTGAGTTTTGGAAACTGTTCAATAAACGTAACCCGTCGGCAATCCAACAGGATTGTTCCTGCGGATCACGTCCATGGAACTATCCTCGAGCATTGTTCGCTAGCGAAGGTAAAGGAAAGTTCCTTTCACGCCGTACCGTCCAAATAAACAATACAAAGTTCCTTCCATCTATCTTTTTCTTATTTGATATTTGAGAACAATAGGAAGTGTGATTGGCAAACGTTGTTCAAGAAAGCTTTAGAAGTAAATAAATAAACAAAAACGAAGGAACGCGGAAAAAAGTTTTTTATTACTTTTACGTTAAAAAGTTAAAAGAATAAAACATGCCAGTTGAATAATTTAGTAGTAAACTTTTCAAATAGGAAAAAAGCATTCTAAATTTTTAAGGAACATTAATTATTTAGTATCCATGCTTCTTATAATAAAAATAAGAAAGATTCTCCAATTAGATTTTTTTTACCTGCAGGAACTCTTTCTTCTCCATCTTTGTATGCTAACCAAATAAAATTGAAAGATAAAATAATCGTGTTGTTTACGTTTAACAATTTATTAACAAGTTGAAATCAACTTTGATTATTCCTTATTAAAAGGTTAATTTAAAGTTCATCCTACAATTCAACGAACTATAAATATAGTAAATATCGATATAACGAATTAATATGAGAAAGGAAGTGTTTGTTATAGCCAGAAGTTCGTTATATGTGTAATTAGAACTAACACTAGAACTAGAAAGATATGTGATATTTCACTTTTTCACCTAATAATAAGCATTTGGAACTTATTATGTTTTTGACAAGATGTTCTCTTCCCCAAAATGATCTTAATTACACTTCTTCTCTTTATTTTTTGCTTTTTCATGTAATGATTTCTTCTGCCTTCATTAATAAAGTTATTTCCAGCAAGAATGTTTTGATTCCGACTGACATTTCCTTTGTAAACAAGATGTTTTGTTTCTGCACTCAATTTTTTCTTCTCCAAACATTATGATGGAACTTCCACACTTGATATTTCACTTTTTACCTAATAATTTGTATTTGGCAATGATGTTATGTTTTTGACAAGATGTTCTCTTCCTCAAAATGACCTTAATTACGCTTCTTCTCTTTATTTCTTCTAATAATCTTTATATCTCGCTTTTTTATGTAATGATTTCTTCTACCTTCATCAAAAACGCTATTTCCACCAATAATATACTAAATTTTAGTGACATTTTGTTTCTGAACTAGATATTTTACTTCTGTACTTAATCTTTTCTTCTGTAAACATTATGGTGTAATTTCCACACTTGATATTTCACTTTCTCATCTAACAATTTGCATCTGGAAATGATATTATGTTTTTGGCAAGATGTTCTCTTCCCCAAAATGACCTTAATTACGCTTCTTCTCTTTATATCTCTATTCTTTTATTCGAGCTATACCCGAATGTTTCTAGTTCTAGGTCTAGTGTTAGTTCTAGTTTTAGTTCTAGCATTCAAACTAACACTAGACCTAAAACTAGAAACATTCGGGTTTAGCCGTCTTAAGAGACGTATAGCTAAACCCAAATGGTTCCAGTTCTAGGTCTAGTGTTAATTCAGTAAAAATATACCATGACATAGCAATGAATCACAATTAAAACTAGAACTAACACAAGACCTAGAACTAGAATCATTCGGGTTTAGCCGTCTTGAGAGACATACGGCTAAATCCGAATGTTTCTAACTCTAGTGTTAGTTCTAGTTTTGCACTATCACTAGAACTAACACAAGACCTAGAACTAGAATCATTCAGGTTTAGCCGTCTTGAGAGACGTGCGGCTAAACCCGAATGATCCTAGTTCTAGGTCTAGTGTTAGTTCTAGTTTTGTACCAGCACTATCACTACAACTAACATAAGACCTAGAACTAGAAGAACTAGATCTAGTTCTAGGTCTAGTATTATTTTTTCTGTTGGTTCAATAGAAATCTAGATCTTGATTTATACATCATATAGGCCAAATCGGGGAATACCCCGAGTTAGATTTTATTTATAAGCACTAATATTAAAATAACTTAAAATGTTGTAAATAAAACCACCATCTTTTTTCTTTTATTTTCACGTTTCTCAGCAAAATACTCTTTACTCGTCCACATTACACAACCGTATACATCGTTTTCACGTTTCCACACGTGCGGTTTTATTTGCGTCTGGCTCTGTCCGGAACCGCGCGGGGGGTTGTATGTAGGAGGAGGGTAAAGTTACGAGGCTGTTTGTCTATTTAGTCTGGAGGGCGAAAACGTACATTTACCTGGGCCAAAAACTTTTATGACAAACGCACGGATGAATACTCGCGAGTTTGCGGTGCTGGGTTAAAAGCAATTAAAATTTCTGCGGTTTTCTTTTCAACCTCTAAAACCTTTTGTTCGAATCGGAAGAGAATTTTTTTCATCGAACGTAAACAACACGTTTGAATTTTAAATTGAAAAAAATTAGCACTTTTTTTTACTAACTTTTGGGGCCTTTTAAATTTTATTACGCCTCCGGGCGTTAATTGAATACCATATTTTTAAAGAGAAGAGGGGTGAGTTATTTCGGACTTCGAGTTCCGTCGAGTAATTCAATATGTCCACAAAGAGGGGCTAATTAGGAGTAGAAATAATTAATGGTTGACGAGGGATCTGACGTGGAGACGGCGGATAGGAGAATATTTCACGGGGACGGAGAGAATACCTTTAGAAATATTTTTTTTAAAAACCACCAATGAGAAATAAAGCCTCGAATTCTTGCAAATACGGCGGAAAAGGGAAGCGGAAGAAAGAAGGAATTAGACACGAAATGAACGAGACGAAGCTTACGTTTCATTTGTATAAAGTTGAGTTGGTCGATCGCCCTAAGCACGGACTTGTCGTCGAGGGTGAGATCGAAATGAGGTGATACTCTTGGGGCCGACCATTCCTTGTGCCAAGAGTGATCTGTGTTAGCCACTCTGCTAATCAGCATTGATCCAACCTGAAAATTATTAATTCATTTTAAAATTGCATTTAATTCTTTTTAATAAAAAAAAGTATGAACAATATTAAAACATTTGTCTTAGATATTATTAACAATCTACTTGGAATTGAAGTAAAGTTATCTAAAAAAGACTATTTAGCTAACGAGGTTGGGTTGGGTTGGATTGGGTAGGGTTTACTTGGGTTGGGTTGGGTACCAATAGACCTGATGGCCAAAAAAGAAAGGCGGCGATGGAAGAATCCCAAAATAAAATCGAATATTACAGCAAGCTATAGATAATTAAGAAGCCAGATGGGCTAAAGACACTGCTCAAGCTAGATAGACTAAAAGACTATTACCAAAAATAGCGGCATGGATAACAAGAAGATGGAGAGAAATGAATTATTTCCTAACCCAGCTTATGAGTGGACACGGATGTTTCAAGGCACACACAAGAGATCCAACAGTGACCAGTGCATGTATTGTGGTGGGACGAGCGACGTGGAACACACCTTCTTCGAGTGTTAAAGAAGGCGAGAGATGAGAGGCGAAACAAACAGAAAACTACAGAACACAATAACGTCTGAAAACTGCACTATGCAACATAATGAGGACAACTGGAAAACTATGGAAAGGTTCGTGAAGGAAGTTGTTGAAACAAAAGAAAGAGAAGAAATACTGCTACAAAATACGTAAGAAAAAGCTAGAACTTTTATAGATGGCCAAGAATAGAAGACGAGAGGGGGCGATCTATCATGCCTCTCTTCCAGGTACGTTTTTATAGGTAGATAACTAATTAAAAAGTTAACCGTATTTTTGTATTATAATTATTCTCATCCAACCGGAGGATTCGAAGAAGAGAATAGGAGCGAAGAACCAAGAATAGAAGAGGAGTGGGAGAGAAGAGAAGATTCCTAGCTAATTAATTAAAAAGTGAACCCTTTTTTTGTAATTGTAGAGGAGGATGCAGTACGAATGAACCCTGGAAAAGAAGATCTACTCGATGAAGAAAACTAGAGAGATAAATGATGGAGCTTAGATTAGGTATTCTTGACAGGACAGAAATCTCAGTAACCCAAAGCATACCCAAACTAACTCAAACCTACCGAAACCAATTCAACCCAACCCGGCAGTAAATCAAGCCAAGATAACTCCATAGCAAAACAATCCAGCATAAAGATAATAAGAATGTGAAATCAATTTAATGGAACATGAAAGCAAGCCGACACAATCGCAAAGCAAGCCAACCCAATCCCAAAGGAAACCATTTCAGCCAACCTCAGAACAACTCTAGCCAAACCAACCTCAGAACAACTCTAGCCAATTTCAAAAAAATTTAACCCAATTAAAGACAAAATAAGTCAATCAAGCTCCAAAGCAACTCATTCCGAAAGCAGTTCAATCATCAAGACAACCCGCATCTCTAGGGCAAATCAACCCAATTCTAAAATAACTCAACCACATGGTATCTATTAAGCAATACAATGATAAAGTGACCCTATAATTCAGCCGAACCTCAAGTCAATCCAACCAAACACTAAAGCAAACCAACTTGATCCTAAAGCAACTCAATCCCACGTCAAAGCAAGGCAATTAAGGTCTAAAGTATGCCAACCCAATCCTAAACTAACTCAACCACAAAGTATTTAACAAGATTTTATGCGGTTTTGAAGAAGTCTTGATTATTCCTTATTAAAAGGTTAATTTAAAGTTCATCCTAATTCAACGAACTATAAATATAGTAAGTATCGATATAACGGATTAGTATGAAGAAGGAAGTGTCCGTTATAGCCAAAAACTCGTTATATGTATAACTAGAACTAAAAAGATTCAGGTTTAGCCGTGCGTCTTCACAGGCAACTTCCATACTTGATTTTTCACTTAATAATAAGCATCTGGAAATGTTATTATGTTTTTGACAAGATGTTCTCTTCCCCAAAATGATATTAATTACACTTCTATATTTCAATATTTTGATTCCTAGTGACATTTCGTTTATAAACAAGATGTTTTGCTTCTGCTCTCAATTTTTTCTTCTCCAAACATTATGGTGGAACTTTCACACTTGATATTTCACTTTTTCACCTAATAATTTGTATTTGGCAATGATATTATGTTTTTGAAAAAATCTTCTCTTCCCCAAAATGAGTTCAGCAATCACAAACTAGTCTAAACTCCAAAATAATTCAGCCGAACCCCAAATCAATCCAACCAAACACCAAAGCCACGTCAAAGCAAGCCAATCAAGCTCTAAAGTATGCCAACCCAATCTCAACGCAACTTAACCACGAAGTAATACAGCCCGAAAACATCACAACTATAAAGTAGACTAACTCAACCACAAAGTATTTAACAAGAAGAAGTCTTGATTTGAGATGTAGCTTTGATATAGACCCAATTGAGATATGATACTGTGTTTTGTAGATTTAATCTAGTCTTGATATTACACAAATTATAGCAGAAACACTTGATGATATAAACATCAGACGCAATTATCTAGATGCAGATATAATATAATTTTAGTACTACAAGAAAAGTTGTATGCAACCTCGATGCACTCATAAATCCAGTTTTGATTCAGACTTGATTCTTGATGACTTGATAGAAAGACGGTGAAGATTAGATACAAAAATGATAAAATCACATCAAGTCAAGAAGCATAACGCAGACTTTGAACATATGGTGCAGACTTTATAACGTGGTACTGCGATTATATGCAATCTTAAATGAGTGTTGATGCACTCTTAAATGCAGTATTGATACGGAGCTGATAAAGATGAGATATATATCTTATATATTTTACAAAACCATTAAATAGTGTTATTATTTTGAACCAAAATTTATACACAAAGACATAACACAAGATGCCTTACATTACAAGGTAGGAATGTTATAATGAGGTCCTGTATATGGAAAGACGACTTTCAGGCGCGTCATTTAATTAATGAAAGGGTCGTTCTCACCTGGAGGAAAGCCGCGCTATCTGTCTCCTTAAGGGCTTCTATGCAAAATTGTAGGAGAGCCGTCGTATGCTGTAACCGTGTTGTGCAAGTAGCCACTTGATCCTTCAACGCTCGGATCCTCAACTCTTTGTCCTGTCGGATGCACTCCATAAGCTGTGCTCTTCTTGCATGAATCGCCGCCACCAGATTTTCGCATTGAGCTGTTACTATACTCTCGAATTCTACGCAGTTTTCCTGAAATTAATTAAATTTATGTTATTATAATATTATTCGAGATGAAACCGCAATAACTTATTCAATATGATTGAGAGCTTAAAAAAAATTGAAAGAGAATATCTCAAGGCAACGGTTTTCCGGTGACGGAACCAAATATCCATATTTTTAATAAAACCAGCACCACCCGCTTCTCTCTGAGAAAAGAATTAGAGTGAAAGCGGGATTTATTAAGTTCGCTTCTGGTACGTAAGGTCGTAAAAGGAAGTCGCGTTTGACTTGCAGATTCAATATTTCCTCTTGCAACGTTGCGCAATTGAAGCTACCGTTCGTGGCATTTGAATTTTTATCATCAAACGACTCTCATTGTTTCTTAATAACGAAATAAAAAATTAAAAAATATATTAATCTTACGTTCACTTTGTCGCTCATTCCTTTCAATCTTTGTATAAATTCCGTTGTCGATCTTGCTCGTTCGGATAATTGTTGTAGATTGTGTGATAATTCAGTCTGAAAATAAAAAAGAATAAATAATTTATTATTTATGAAAATGAATTTTGAGATGAGAATCTCGGGTTTAAAATATTTTGATATTTTGCATGCCGAGGAGATTCCAGTCATATTTCTAAATTCATAGAGAGTAGGGATCTTTTACAATGCAACGAGTTATTTTAATATTAATTTTGTGTTGAATTAAAATTTTGAGGGGTCAAAAGGTCATCGATATCAAAAAAAAATCCTCCAAGTAGGAAGAAACAAAAACTCGTATTAAATTCCAAGAGATTGGCAGTATTACGATCCAACACAACCCAAGATACCATCTGGCGTCGTAACAATAAATTCACTTTTAAGACATCTCCGTCCCACCGAACGCTTGTTTTCACGTGAAATTAACAAAGGGTCTCGGAAGTGTTTGTTTTAGCTCGTGCCATTTCTTTCGTCGGATTTTCCTCGAAACGAAACCGCTCGTTTTTTTACTCTCCCATCGTTAAGTTTCACTGCCTCGTTATTAGAACCATCTAATATCCCTCACATATGTGCCTTACTACTCTTGAACAAAGCGCCATCAAACCACATCGATTGCGCGAGAATGGGCCGAACGTTACAGTTATTACCACATTTACGATTATGTGTCGGCCACGGTACGAAAAGGATCGCGAAAATTGAAAGTATCTTGATTTTATTTTTATTTTCAGAGAGTGGTATGCAATTTTAAACACGTGGGATATTAAATTCAAACCGAAAAAGGATAAAACAACAATAACCTTGGTTGTAAATCTTTAGTTGGAGAAAGTTACTTGTTTAATATGTTAAAATTTTTAGTGTTGCTTTTAAAACACAGGTTTATTATTATAAAGGAATAAGTATTAAAGGAATCAACGCTTCAAAGTTAGTAGGAAATAAGGAAAAGGTTTTTGGTATGTGTCAAAATAGTTCTATTTAATTAGAAACATCTCGAGGATACTTGACAAAGAAAAAATATGTTAAAATAATTAAATGGAATGTTTTCCATAAACTTGAAAAAATTCAAAAAATGGGATTTTTGATGATTTTGGCTCAAAATTGTTCTAAATGGGTTAAAATATCTTTGTAATACTTGAATGGGGTTTATACAGACGATTTAGCTGTAAATTGAAATTTAAAAATTTAGCTGTAAGAGTTAAATGTATTGAAACCCCATGTATCGTTTATACAAAGCTGTAAGATTTAGCTGTAAACATAAAGTTGGTCAACTTTTCTAAATTTACAGCGTCACACATGCGCAAGACGACCTCCATCAGCTGTATCCAATGATCGGCCGGTGTAAATAGCGCGTTCTAACCTAACCTCAACTGTTGTTTATTTCTGTGCCAACAAAATGAGTGAATTCGATGGAAAATTAATTAAAATAGTATGGAATACTATCCTTAGTTCTTATTTTGTGAGGAAACCTTAGCTGGAGGGAGATGTTTAGGTTTTTTCAAAACGATATCATAATGTTGCCCCACCTGAATTCCAATGGTAGTTATTCCAACAAGGTGGCGCACCACCGAAGTGTGGTGGTACCACCGATCAGTAGTACCAACCCAACGCAAAAATAAAACCAAATTTTGGGGTTTTTGACGATTTTCAGTTATAACTTATTAATTATAAATGATGGAGAATTACTTTTCAAACAAAAAACGTTTAGAATTAACTCATAAAACGTATTGAATAAAGATATTTACTCCATCAATCAGTATTACCAACCCAACCTAAGTAAATTAGAAATTTTGACGTTTTCAAGAATTTTTTTATAACTTAATAATTATAACTGATGGAGAGCAATGTTTCGTACAAAAAAGGTTTAGAATTAACTCAAAAAGCATATGCAATAAGTTATTTTAATCCACCAATCAGTACTACCAACCCAACCTAAGTAAAATAGAAATTTTGACGTTTTCAACAATTTTCTTTTATAATTTGTTAATTATAAATGATGGAAAGAAATGTTTCATACAAAAAGGCTAGAAACATTCGGGTTTAGCCGTCTTGAAAGACGTGCGCCTAAATCCGAATGCTTTTAGTTCTAGGTCTAGTGTTAGTTCAATAAATATAAAAAACAACCTAGCACTGAATCAGAAATAAAACGAGAACTAACACTAGACCTAGAACTAGAAACATTCGGGTTTAGCCGTGCGATAGTTTGATAGTTTCTAGGTCTAGTGTTAGTTCTAGTTTTACGCTAGCACTATATATGTTATGTAGCACTATGTTCTAGTTTTACACTAGCACTATCACTAGAACTAACATAAGACCTAGAACTAGAATCATTCGGGTTTAGCCGCCTTGAAAGATGTGCGGCTAAATCCGAATGTTTCTGGTTCTAGGTTAAATATTAGTTTTAGTGACAGTGCCAGGTAGCTGTAGTGAGCATTAGGTATCACTGTGTTGCATATTTTTATTGAATTAAAACTAGAAATATCACTAGAACGTCTCTCAAGACGGCTAAATCCGAATGATTCTAGTTCTACGTCTAGTGTTAGTTCTAGTTTTGCATTAGTACTATCACTAGAACTAACACAAGACCTAGAACTAGAATCATTCAGGTTTAGCTGTCTTGAAAGACGTGCGGCTAAACCCGAATGTTTCTAGTTCTAGGTCTAGTGTTAGTTCTAGTTTTAATTGCAATTTACCAAGTTGTAGTATATCTTGAACACTCCGCAACTTGTTTCTGAAAACGTGATACCGCTCGTGTTAGTTCTAGTTTTAGTTCAAAATAATACATTAATTATAATAAAAGTAGTAATAATTGTGTAAATAATAATCTATTATGATATTGTAGCCAGCGCGCATATTTTAGCTTAAAATGCAAATGGGTTAATTAAATTGAATAATAAAAGTTTACAATAACTTTTAACAATATATTTTAAAACGACTTCCTTTCTTAACCACATAAACTGTCGTTTTTCTTTATTTGAAGAAAAATAAACCGGGAACTTTACAGCCACCATTACGAACATAATCCGGAAAATAAAGATAAGCGAGGAGAGATGACGACGACGAAGCTTTTAACCCGACGAAACATTTTATTTTCGAGTTTATCAGAATCACCCGGATTTGCAGTAAAAAACCAAAAAAAATGGAACAAACCGGGAAATAAAAGCGGAACCGGAAAAGGGGGAGGGCACGGGCGCAACATTAATCCGGCGCCCCGGAACAAAACATCGCGACGATAACGGGGGTCCGTTCGTTTGTTTTTCATTTTGGTTTTTCGAACCGATATATCCGTAGAATCGAAACAAAGTGGTCGAAATCGGGGCCAATAAAGAACAAAATGCGCTCGCAAGAATAACATTCACTATAAAATAAGCTTACAATGGGTTACAATCATGAAAAATAATGTAGTTAGGGAATGTTGAGGGAACAAATCAATATTTTTTTTTGTGAACAATATTAATTTGGCTTTTTTGCGAATTTGTGTCCTTTGTTTCATTTTATAACAAATACATCAAACAGAATGGGCGAGTACATCGCCTACAGTCATCAAAAATATTTATTTGATGAGATTCATATTGATATTTTATTCAGCATTTTTTTTCAATTTCAAATATTCGATTTGATTAAATAAATAATTCAGATAAAATATTTAAATTAAAATCTTTTAAAGTGCACGTTAACATCAATTTTCCACCCTAAAGACTGACGAAGGTAAAAGAGCCAACTAAGATTTTCTCTCTTTAATGGGGGAGGGGGCGGCAAGTTGTTTACGACTAAGGCATATAGAGCCCTACGGCGTTTACAGTCACGTGCACTCGGTGCCGCCGGCTGCATTTTGCCAGATAAGAGGATTATAAATTCGGTAATAATTAATAATCTGTACGGGATTTGCAGAACGGAATTTTAGATACAACACGCGGTGATGGAAAACGAGGGGGCGCAACGTTGTTTCGCTCGCGGCCCTTGTGTCGCATCCCCTAAGAGGTGATTAACCCCTCTGTAGGTAGATTTAACGTTGTAGGTGATTAGGATGTGTGTAATGTGAAATGAAACTGGGGAATTTTTAGTAGTTATGTACTTACAGAGGGTTGAACAGAGGTTTTTTTGAATTTTTAACATATATTTTCTTTTTATTTTCTGCCTCTATGTTCTGTTGTATACTTTGTATCCCTTTTCCCAAAATTGTTTCTGTCTTTACATGAGCTTTTAATACACCAAACTTAATCACGAAAGAGCAAACACTGTAATAAGACCAGCTGTTTTGTTAAAATCAGTACAGAACAGAAACGAATCCAAGTAAATCCAACCAAACCCAACCAAGTGATGATGTTCTTCCAAAACCAGCGAAGAATAAAAAACATCTTGGACACTTGGAGGCGGAAGTTGATTTTGTCTTTTATCCCATTATGCCATTCAAAATGGAAAGCGGATATATTTCTAAATGTTTTGCCAAAGTTATTTTCAAAGGATTCCAAAGACTTTTTAGCATCCAACAAAGTGTCACAAATTTGGGGAACAACTAGAAAACGCTTGGAGTGTCCTTTTTGTCTAAAACCAAGAAAAAGTAGACACTGCTTTTAGAAAACCAAGAGAATGAGCTGCTTCAAAGAAAATAGAAGATAACAGAGATTGACATCGGCTTATTAAAGCAAAATCATACATTCTCACCCTAAACATGGGATTTTTTATGAATAAGTTGAGGTTGCTTGCGGATGAGGCTCAACAATTAATATTGTATCAATCCAAAACTGTCCAAAACATTAAAGCTGATGAAGAAGATGTAGAACTAGAATCATTAGGGTTTAGCCGTCTTAAAAGATGTGCGGCTAAATCCCAATGTTTCTAGTTCTAGGTCTAGTGTTAGTTTTAGTTTTGCACTATCACTGTCACTAGAACTAACACAAGTTCTAGAACTAGAATCATTCGGGTTTAGCCGTCTTGAGAGACGTGTGGCTAAATCCGAATGCTTCTAGTTCTAGGTCAAATGTTAGTTCTAGTGACAGTGCTAATATCACTGTGTAATTATTTATTTTCCTTATTTTCTGCCTTTG